AATATTAAATGGTAATTATTTCATAACTAAAGCATTAAAAGGAAAAAGTGGCTCGGCGCCTATAGCTCAACCGGCTAAGGCACCAGCCACCTACACCTAAGGTGGCAGGTTCGAATCCCCAGCCCGGACCGCCAAACAACAATGATGGCTGCAACCAAAAAATAGCCGGGCGTTGTGGCGGGCGCCTGTGGTCCCAGCTACTTGGGAGGCGGAGGCAGGAGACTCGCTTGAGCCCAGGAGTTGGAGGTTGCTGTGAGCGGTAATGCCATGGCACTCTACCCAGGGGGACAGCTTGAGGCTCTGTCTCAAAAAAAAAAAAGGAAAAAGTAATTCAATAAAATGGAGCAAAAATACTTAATGTCACTAGCAGAAGAGGCAGCTATATTTTTCTGTTCCAGTTCACTCCGAATTAATCAATTTTCTGCAAAACACTCAAGAAACTGTACTATATTTATTATTTCTGATACAAGAATTGAATTCACTAAGCTAAATTAGTACTCTGCCTCTGGAAATTCATGCTTCAAAACAATCTTGGGCTACTGCTAGAATTCAGAATGTCTCTCACAAACTTCTGCTCCAGCTGATGGATTTGAATCAGCACTAACAGGGCTACAGGAATAAGTCAGGAAAGGTAAACAGTGGAGCAAAGAATAAACAAACTTCAATTGGCAGACATCTCTGATAGTCACATACGTTTCATCTCTACCAAGTTTCTCACAACAAATTAATCACCAAACAGCAAATTATGAAGTACTAATTAATATTTGGCCAGTCTAAAACTCACAGGAGGAACTAAAGAAATAACATCTATCTCCATATTTACATAGCTCTAGTCTTCCCAAAAAACTTAAAACTACACAAACCATCTCCATTTTCAGGGGACATAGATAAAGTGTCAGATTTCTAGAGGAGAATTAAGTAAGGGATTAAGTAACTTGTCCAGCAAGTTACCAGTGAAAATAAAACCAGAAGCCAACTGTTTAGTCTACAAAGTCTAAATAATCTTCTTTCCTTGGTTCATAAACTTAAGATAATATTATAAAGGGCCTACAAATTATCTTCACAGAACAATACATGTAATCAGAACACTACGCCAGAATTGAGTATGCTGAGCAACAAAGTACTGCTTACCCCAAATCAATAAAATGAACTAACACAATGGACTTAAAAAATACAATGAGGAAACAATGGCCATATTGGAGAGAATTTTCAAAGGTCACTCTATTCAACTTCTATCCTACTGCCCAAAGTCTCTGCTAAGGAGCAAACAGGGTCAGAAATGCTCCCTGTAATTATATTCCACACATATACCAAATCTCAAAATACTCCAAGAATTTCAATCAAACTATACTTTCTATCATATTATACTTTTAAAACCTTTCCCTCCAAAAACAAAATCTTATAGCAATACATTCAGTGCATTATTTTGCTGTCTGCATGACATACTTCAAATTTGGATTTTAAAAATCATTACCTTCCAGTTTATTTTTTAAATATTTATAGTCACAGATTCAGATTACTTCAAATTGGTGTTCTGCTCAGCCCTCATTATGTTTAGGCAAGATTCCCATTTCCACTCAACCTTATTATTTGAACATACAATGGCTGCATTAAGATACTTCCTACACTGACAAAAGAAAAAACTAATCAACCCAGAAAGCTCCCAAGTTACCAAAAGCAGATCTTTTATTTGAAATCATACTAGGTAACACACTATACTACATACTACATGAAGCCCACAAGGTGCTAACTGAAGTTATTTCCACAACATGATCAAATTTGTTTTTTAGCAAAATCTGACAAGACTGAATTTTCAAGTATGAAAAGGGAAATAATTTTCCAAGATTCTAGGAATCCCTGCTTACTAATGCTGTCTCAAAGCAGTTTGCTTAATCCTTCCAAATCCCAAAGACTCTATGTAGCCAAAGAACACTGGCTAAGACCTACACTGAAATGTCTATGCTCAAACCCCTAAAGGTTACTTTCCAGGTGTATGGCAAACTGATAGCCATATATCCACATAACCCCAAAACTGTCTTTCCTAAATGAAACTAACATTACACCCATCAACTCAAATCAAAGCCCCAGACAACTCGAATCAAAATCCCAGAGAATCCAAAAGTCTCCAACTAAATTTTATTTGAACGATTTAAGAGAAAAAGCTAACAACCCAGTTATCAGTTATTCACACCCTGAAGTAGAGTCAAAAAGCTCCATTTCTGCCACTTTTAGGAACTGAGTGTACATTACTTCTGTCGGTCTATAGCATGGGACTCAGATATTTCATTACCTGAATTACAGATATTACATGCCTGAGTACTGCCCCATTACTCAGAAAGCACCAAAGTATTCCTTCCTCCTTCTTACACACAGCCCTTGAATGCTACTACCCTCTGCTCCCTGCTTTCTTGCAGTTTCACAAAGCCATCTGCCCTGCACCTGCTGCAATCCTATTTCCATTCACTCTTGGTACACTCCTCAGGACCCTGCATAGCTCTTCTATATATCCACTCATCAGACCACTATGCCAGGATGATACCCAGCCCCACACCTCCTCCACTCAGCTCTTCTTATCCCAACCCCATTTACTGGGCTCTGAACTAAAATCAGGCTTCATGATCTCTCTGACCCTAGAATCATGAATTTTCATATATGATAAAGGGTTTAATGTTCTCCATTTTCTATTAATATCATTCTAGGCTCCAACTCTATCTCCCTCCTCCCAAAATTTCCAGTTCCTCTATGTCTGAAATTTAATCCTCTCCCTTTAGTTTTTTTTCCAACTTCTTCAGTCTCCCTGCCCTTCCTTATATTTCAGTGACCTAAAAATTATGACTCCTTTAATCTCTCAAAACTCAAAGTGTTCCAATCTCCCCACACTCCTGTACCTTGGACTTCCCATACTCTCTTAAGCAACCTGTTTTCCTAACTCTCTCCAACCTAAATAGCCATTTCCTGCCCTAACCCTAGGCCACTTCCCCACCGCCACCCCCAATCCAATCCATTAACTATTTCTCTTCTATGGCAGTGCCCATGGTCAGTCAGCAGGGTGCCAGCCACATACACCTAGGGTGGTGGGTTCAAACCCAGCCCGGAGGTGCAAAGCAACAATGACAACTGCAACCAAAAAACAGCCAGGCATTGTGGTGGGCGCCTGTAGTCCCAGCTACTTGGGAGGCTGAGGCAAGAGAATTGCTTAAGCCCAAGAGTTTGAGGTTGCTGTGATGCCATGGCACTCTGCCCAGGGCGACAGCTTGAGACTCTGTCTCAAAAAAAAAAAAAAACCTATTTCTTTCCTAGTCACAGACATGCCTACACACATCCCTACTGTACCTTTCCCTTGCCCCACTATAGGTACTATGGGTGCTATTTTTCTACATCCTCTATCTCAAAATATCTGGTCTTCCTCCCCTCCTTACCACTGTCCCCTGCCTATTTTGTTCTCCCCACTTCACAAAATCCAGCTCCCCAAACCTGTGCTTCCCTCTTTTCACATACTCTTCTTCTGTACACCTTCCCTCCCAGCCTATCCCACTACCCCCTCTACTTATTTCCTTCCCACACACCCCCCCTCTACCTACCCCCTTCTCCCCAACTTCTCTCCACATTTCCTACCATTTGTACCATTTCCTTCCATTTGTACCCACACTTTACCTGGCACTCCAAGAGTATTTCTTTCCTCCCTCCCCTCCACCCCACTTTGCCCTGCACTTCACACATATTCATTCTCCTACACACACCTGCCTGCTCCAAAGTCCCCCCCAACCCAAAAGTTCCCACTTATGCTTCTTCCACCTTCCTCTATACTTCCTGTATAAACACCCTCCATTTCACTCACCTCTCCCTGCTACCCATTAAATGCCCCCACACAACTCCTGCCCAGGCACCTTCTCCTCTCCACCTCCACCAACCTGCCCTATTGTCCCCACTTCTCTCCCAAAGTTCTCAAACTCAGTCCTGCTCCAACCAACTTCCACCTTCCACCCCCCCACCCCTCCACCCCCGTCTCCTCTCTCCAGACTACCTGATACCTGACATCCTTCCTTCACAAGTTAACCCCTTCCTGCTTCCCTGTCTCCCCTACACACCTGGCCAGACACTACCTCATAACCCCTCACAGGTCTCCTGGGGCCTCTGGGCCTACTCTCCTCACACCTCCGGTCCAAACACCCTCCATTTCCCTCACCTAGACACCCTCCTGGCCTCCCTCCCTCTTCACGCTCAGCCAGCCTGCCCACATTTCCCGTACCCTACCTCCTCCTCCATCATTCCCCTTCACGTGCGTCCGGCGGCCTTCCTAGTATCTGCCCCGCTCCCTGCACCTCACACGCAGAGCTCCTTCCATTCCTGCCTCGAGTCCCCAATCTTCTCCCTGCATTCCCACCCCACTCGTCCCTGCCTCCCTAGAGCCCCGCTCACACCCTCCTGAACCCCTAGATATAGTGCGCCCCCCCCCGCCACCGGAATGTCCGTGTCTCTCTCTCTCTTTCTCTCTCGCACTCGCCCTGGCCCCCAGGGGCTCACCAAACCGGTCCCAAGGCCCTCACCCTCCATTAGGCCGGATCCTTCTCCCTCCCATTCTCCTCTACACCTCTGCTTGCCCCCCAAAGCCTCTTCCCCAGCTCCTGCCCCCAATGTCCTCCAACACCTGCCCCGAGCCCTTCACCCTCCATCCTACCCACACCTCCAGGAGAGCCATGCCCCACGCTGCCCACGCCCTCCCCGGCTCTGGGCCGGGACCCCGTCCCCTGCGAAGGTGAGAAAGGCTGCCCTTGCCCGAAGAGGCCGGGGCACCGCGGCGGCGGCGGCGGCCACAATGCCGGGGCCGCGGGGCCGGGATTGCTCCCTGCTCTCCACCCCGGCCGCCGCCGCTGCTAAGGACGCACAACAAACAATGCGGGGCCCGGGCCGGCTCCGCCAACCGCCTCAACCGCCGCCTTAACCGCCGCCCGCCCGGGACAACCCGCCGCGCAGGCGCCTGCTCCGCCGCCGCAGCCTACCGTGGCCGTCGCGCTCTGCCCGCTCTCGGTCTCCGCTCCCTCTCCGCCGCCGCCGCCACCTCGTCTGCCCGCGTCTCCGGCTCCTCAGCCCAGCGGCGGCGGCTGCGGCGGCTGCTGCCCTGGTGGCGCTCGCGGCTCCGGTCTCCGCTTCGGCGGCAGCAGCGGCGGCGGCGGCAGACACGTGACACGGCCGAGCGCGCCCATTGGCCGGCCCGGGGGGCGGGCCTCGCAGCTGCCGGGGAACCTAAAGCCCGCCCCTTCGCTCGCCGCGCGCCCCCTCCACGCGCGCTCTGCCGCACCTGAGAGCGCCGGCCAGTGACTGACGCTGCCAAGCAGCGCGGCCGCCTGCGCCAACTGCGCACCTGGGAGCGCGCAGGGCGGCGGTCGCAAGCACCTGCGAGCCTACGCTTACGTAAACTCCGTCCCCGCCCTCCTCCCAGCTCCAGGCCCCCGCCCGCCGCCGCACCTGAGCCCCGCTGCGCTAGCGGCGTAACTGCTGGAGAACAGAAACGAGCTTCACTGGGAGGCTAGAGAAAATCAGGGAAACTTCGTAACTTCAAACCTGGGAGTGGCGCCGGGCTAATATCAATAGCCGGCGTCTCTGGGTCCCGCGCCCCAGCTTAGGTTGACCTCCATCCCCAGCGGCTACGCAAACGGAGTAAGCGCCGCAATGGCTCCCGGAGTGGAGGAAGGGCAAGCCAGTAGGCTTTGACTTGTTAAAAGGTTCAGATCCTCGACCTCCGCCTCATCCCATTTGTCAGCTGTGTGACCTTGACCATGTTACAGAAACACTATGAGCCTCAGTTTCCCCATCGAGAAAACTGGAACAAAATTTTGACTTAAGAACTGTTGAGGGAGATGACATAAGACAGTAATGTGTGAACTCTAGTACACAGCAAACCCTGAACAGAAGTCTTCGCAGTCACCTCTTCTTCACCTATACATAGTGAGCCTACCTGCAATTGAGTTTGGGTCTAGGATCTCTCTGATCTCCTTATGGTTAGGTCAGTCAGACTTTGACTGAACACCTACCTGCACTATGCCAGGGACAGCGCTGGAGAATAAGTAAAGGTTCGCTTTTTACTTTACAGTTACTAGTTGGCATGTTCTTGGTGCCCAGCATTCTGTCAGCCAGTTTAGCCTCTCCGGAATACCTGCTGTATGCAAATAAGGCAAAGTCCTGCCCTAAGGGTATTGCCAGTCTGGGAAAGAAACGACCTGACCAGCCAGTGCCAGGGAAAGGGGCTTGGAGAGCCAGAGGTTGGAGCAGGGACCTCTCACAACTCCTCCCTCGGGCCCCTTCTCATCTTTCTAACATACTAGGATCAAATATTTTAACAGCTCTGCTTCGTTCACAGAATAAAGTGTAAACACTGAATTCCAGCTGTAAAAAGCCTAAGTGATCGGGCCTTAAGCTTCAAGCTACACCCTGACTTTGCCCCTCCTGCTGGTCAACTTGACTCTCCAGCCACTGAACTACAGAACTGTAGTTTCCAGAGTATGCTCAAGTCTGTAACACTCCCGAGACTCTTGAGACAGGAGCTGGACCTGGTAGCTCCATTTCTACACCCACTCCTCACCTCTGAACACTCATTTATGCTCCTAGAAAACCCCTAGGTGTACCAATTGATAAATCAGCTCAAAATATATTCTGTCTTGAAATCCTTGGTTGCGTCAGACACATTATGTAAACTCCCTCTGTTTGCACAGCCCCCTTTTTTTTTTAAGAGACTGTTTCACTTTTTCACCCTCTGTAGAGTGCAGTAGCATCACAGCTCACAGCAACCTCCAGGTCTTGGGCTTAGGCAATTCTCTTGCCTCAGCCTCCCCAGTAGCTGGGACCACAGGCTCCTGCCACAATGCCTGGCTGTTTTGTTGCAATTTGACTGGGGTGGGGTTTGAACCCACCACCCTTAGTATATGGGGCTGGCGCCCTACTCACTGAGCCACAGGCGAGGCCCTGCATAGGCCTCTTAAACTATGTATTCTTACAGTACTAGATTGTAATTGTTTAGCTACCTGTCTCCTTCCTGGACTCTAAGCACCTTGAGGACAGGGTCTTCTCTCTGCCTAAGTGGGTTAGGAAAGACTACATATGCACATGAGATAAGATTATTAAAGCTAGGTTTTGCAGGAAGGAACATAAACCTGTCAGAAGGAAAAGAGGTGCTGCAATGTAAAGATTTAGGTTCTCTGCACCAAGCTGTGCGATCTTGAAAAATCAGTCTGGATCTAAGTTGACTCTGTCAAGTGAGACTAACAATACTACATACCTCATAGGGTTATTATAAGAATCCAATGAGACAATGGTACTACACAGCATGATGTCCAGCATTTGGTAAAATTTTTAATTAAGTAGGAGAAGGCGTATCTTTTACAGATTCAATAGTATCCTTTATTTCAATATCTTTGTTGAGTTTTTAGCCCTACTCCTGACAAAAACATGCAAATGATAAGCAAAAAAACAAAGTTAAGGGCCAGGTGTAGTGGCTCATGCCTGTGATCCTAGCAATCTGGGAGGCCAAGGCAGGCGGATTGCCTGAGCTCATGAGTTTGAGACTAGCCTAAGCCAGAATGAGACCCCTGTCTCTAAAAATAGCAGGGCATTGTGGCAGGCACCTGTACTCCCAGTTACTCAGGAGGCTAAGACAAGAGAATCACTTAAACCCAAGAGATTGAGGTTGCTGTGAGCTAAGATGTCACAGCACTCTACCAAGGGTGACAAAGTGAGACTCTGTCAGAAAAGAAAGAAAGAAAGAGTTTCAAGTGTCCCTCTCCGTTCCTGCCCTTAACTCCACTCCCTCCACCCTAATCCCACCTCCCAGAGCAGCTACTCTTAAATTTTTCATGTCCCACATTACATGTCCACAGAAAAAAGAAAGTTGCAGAAAATTATGTATCTATACTGTATATGTTGCATTCTGGACAGAAAAGTCAGAAAGAATTAAATGCTAATGACTACTGGTTATACCTGAAAACAGAATTGAGTATGAGGATAGATCTGTACTTTCTTAATTTTTAAGGACACATACACATATATAAATTTTTAACAACTTAATTGAGGTATATTTACATACCATAAAATCATGCATTTCAAGTGTACAATTTGATGATTTTTAGTAACTTTACTGAGTGATACAACATCAGCATAAATCAATTTTAGAACATTTAGAATATTTCATGGATCCCCACAGGATTCCTCATGCCTATTTACTATTAACCCCCATCCTCACAGTGGCTCCTGTAGCTCAAGGAGTAGGGCGCCAGCCCCATATGCCGGAGGTGGTGGGTTCAAACCTGGCCCTGGCAAAAAACC